GTCTGGAAAGACTTAAAACTATTTGTGTGTTGTGTTGTGTTGTGTTGTGTTGGAAAGTAACCGGTGTTGATAAAAGAGTTTTTATAACATCCGACTCACAATCCTTTGCAAATAATAAGGATAACAATACAAACAAGTAAGTTATTCATAGATTGTGACTTTTAATCCATTGAGTTCTGTCTTGGGTTTGCTGTGTTTTGTCATCACGTCCTAGTACTTACAGATTGGCCCATGCGTTCTGATCTCTAATTAAGAGTGGGGATTTTTTTACTCAGATTAATTATCCAAAAAAAGTATCTCAAAGTCTTTGCTGTGCCAATTCTGATGTCTGAGATGGAGAAATGTTATTTAAAATCGGAACCTGCGTTGACAACTTTTAGAGGTGCCCCTCGGTTTTCGCAACAGCTGCTATATGTATTTGAATTTTTCCCATGTGTCAGGTGGCGTTTTTGTGGTGCTACTCTGCGGACTGGCGTTTGCAGTCCTCATCTCCATCCTCGAGTTCTGCTGGAACTCCAAGAAAAATGCTCAAACAGATCACGTGAGTTCCACAACAACAACAAAAAATCACTTTTCTCCAAATGCATTCATTAATTTTCAAATTATTTTTATCAAAGCGGCTACTTTAATTCTATGATAGAATCTGAAAAAGAACATGTTTTTGTTGCTCCATTGTTCTTCCTGAAAATTCAGGTTCAGAAAATCGAGATCCTTCTCAAGTAAATTTCGTATGAAAATCGTCCTGATGTGGAGAAAGTATCTTATTATACGAGGGTTCTAGCAAAAGTTCCCGGAATGGACATGAAAATGGTGGAATTGCCTTGGAAGACCTGGAGGCAACCCTTGGAATTAATGCCACGTTGATTTCAAGAATTCTGAGGGAAGAGCTGAGCTAAAAAAAAAAAAAAAAAAAAAACTGAAGGAAGGGCACATCATCGTTTGAGTGGATGACAGAACTCTGACAGGGTGAATTTTGCAAAGCATTAAAAAAAAGTAAAACAGGGCTATTTTTTTTTTGTGCCAAAGAATATATTTTCCCTACAGAATTTTTCTTCAGCTCGATTGTAGACGCCATTTTCATTTCCATTCCGAGAACTTTTGTTACGTTCGCATCAGTCATTCTCCAAGTCTCGTTTTATTCTCTTACTTGCAGCAATCACTGTGTTCAGAATTGGCCGAAGAGCTGTGTTTTGCGGTGAGATGCTGCGGTTCTCGGCAACGGCCGGCGCTTCGTCGACGATGCACGCGTTGCGTCTTGCCCAGCTCCGGGCAGAACACGTACGTGCCCGCGTCCACGCTGGACTTGGGCGGCTGTTCTTCAGCCATGTCGTGCCACGATGTAAGTATATGCAGCTTCCAATGTAATGCCCGAAAAAAAAGACAAATGTAAAAGTACTGCACTGGTTTTGTGCGTGTGTACTCTGTGGCAAAGCAGACAGAAAACGCGTGTATGTATGTATACGGTATTAGTACGATGTGTATATATAGGTGCGTCTTCTGGAATGCGAAGTAGTATGTGACCTTCTGTAAACTTGTGGATGCTGGACGCGAGGTATTTTCAGAGTATTGCAAAAGGTTTACATAATGTACAGTACATGCAGCTGCATATGCACGCATTTGCTCCAGTATAAACGACGTGAACTTTTATTTGAACTTCAGGAAAAAATGAGAGTGCGGGTCAAAGGCAGAAAAAATTTGTGTGCACTTCATGTAATTGATTCCAATGAGGGATTTTAAACGAATTTCAATAGAAAGTGTGAAAACGGAAATAGTTGAGTACAGTAGTTCTGTTGGACGAAATACTATAGCGCATAAGATCAAAACCCATGATGTTGGATAAACACCGCTTTCAGGTGGACTCACGCTTTTCCCAGAGAACACCTTATGGTGCAATTAAAAAATATACATAAAACTACAGTACAGTTGAACCTCCATAATTGGAACCTCCCGGCCTAAGTCGAATACCTACCAGCACGTCGGATTTGTTTTAATTATAAGTTCCTTCTGAATTCCCCTAGAAACAACAATGCATTAACAACCTTTTCTACCTCAAAGGCTTTCCCCCTGAAACCTCCATAACTCAAAATTTTCGTGTTCATGTTATAGATGGAAGAACGAGAAATAAGTGTCACTTATTGATGCTTTCTGAAAGGAAGTGAAAGATTAATTGGGAGAAAGAATTTTTGCCGCCAAGTTTAGCATCCTATCAACACATTCAAGAAGCAGTTTAAGGCCCAGCATATCCCTTACTAAAATTTCCTGCAATTCTTCTTCCTTTCCCAGAACAAAAACGGTAGTTTCCCTAACTCGAATTTTTTCGGTAGTCCCTTTTAGTTCGATCTAAATAGAGGTTCGAATGTACAAAAAATTCTCCAATGCCAGCTGTATTCAACCTCACGTGCACAATAGTCGGTATAACATCCGCTCAGTATTACCCCATAATCAGCTAAGCTCCCAACCGTCGTCGTGTCAGCAGTTATGCTACTTATGCATAGGCGGGAGTCGATTTCCCCCAGTAAATTACAGTACACTCCGTATCTCTTCTCAGGCATGTCGACTCGGAAGCCGAGCTGTTTGAAACGGGGCCCTCTAATTTTTCTTCCTTTTCTCTTGGCAGGAAAAGGGTATAATGATGGACATGTGTCCAGCAGGGCATTTCATTAACGGACACCAGCACTTTCACGGCTCGTCTCCAAGTGGCCTTCACCATGGCTCGGATCATGAGGAGTGTCGGAACTGTGACTGACGTCCGACTGCTTGAGTTTTTTCTGTTTATTACACGGACTCGAGTGGAAATGCGTCGTTGAAGATGCAACAATAGGACGTATTTGACAAAATACCGGCCACTTCGCTCGGAACAAATTTTTGGAGCTATGATTTCCTGTTCTGTTTTTCCATTACATTATCCTGGAGAACCAAACGGAGAGACAATTCGAGGCATGACGCCGAAGACGACGGGTATTTCTAACCTGATTCCGCATCAAAATTACAAGATGAGTCAGCGTGACAATTTTATTAGGATATTCTGGAACTCCGGATCAGTATTTAACAACAACCGAAAATTATGTGTCTGTAAGTTAATTAATTCCCATTTCCCAGCCATTGACTTGGTTTTTGTGCTCAACTAAGTTACGGAGATTACTAAAATCTTTAAATTTGAATTTTACACAGTTTTGATGCATAGAAAAAACTATAAAACTTACACGTCAAACGTTCAACGAAACGAGGAATCTGACTTCAGACCAGCAATTGAAGGAAACTGGTTAATTTGAAAGAAGTTAACGTTTCCTCCAACTTATAAATAAGTGCAGTTTCATCAAACGCAACTTTTTTTTTAATTCGGGAAAAAAAAGAGGTGTGCGTCCTAAAAATCGTCTAATAATGAAGTTTAAACTTTCAGAAAGCTATTCATAAGGATTATAAAACGTTAGAAAATGAATTTATTCGTAAAAAGCCAACTGCGTATTACTCGCGGGCACAGTTTATTTTACAAGATGAAAAATGGCAGAGGGCTTCAAAATGCATTAAATATCACGTTTGACAAAAAGTATCGATGAAACTCATATTAAGTCACTTTCCAAATTGAGCTACTCAGAGAAACTAATTTTTAATTCATCTGTGCTATTAAAGAAAACTTTCATTAGAATCTTATCATCGCAAAACTAGGAACTTATGTGGATTTTGACCGCAGATACCAATATTCTACAACTGCTTTATGAAATCTTTGGATACCCAAGCACTTCAATCCATGAATACCTTAAAAAAATTCAACTTATCTCACCATAAACTTATTTCTTTGCACCCACCGTAAAGGAGTTAGTGAGATTACAGTGAACATTTTTTCGATGAGCGATTCTGAAACTTTTACCCTGGTCTCGAAAAAATGCGTGATACTCGTCCAAGGCCCGAAACGAAATTCAGTAGCGCAGTAAATGAATGCAGGGTTGGTTTAGCGAATTGCCTTCCATTGTTCGGGCGAGTTCTGTTGAATTTGCATCGCGCTCTTCTGAAAGTAAGACGCGTCAGTGATATTTGATCTTGTGTCCGATTTTCGGCAAATAAACGAGTTTTTAGAAAATGTTTTTCGAGAGTTCGTTACCAAGAAGACTTCTAAACTCGAAGAAACGAAAACAAGAAAAATCCCTTGGTTTCAGAAAACAATCTGAAAGAGATTCAATCAAATGAATCAAGGCAATATTTTTCCTCATCCAGCCATCTGCTGATTAACCGATAAACCAACAACGATCACACAAATGGAATCAGTAAGATAACAGAAAAAAGATCAACCGCAAACATGCCGGCATTCGAACGTGCAGAAACGTTGAGAAACTGAAGTCACGTCAACTCATCCGAGAAAACGGCAAAATCCTCACTCCGGAAGGTCCCCCGGACATAATGCTGCGAGAAAAATGATTTAAAAATTGCAATGAACAGCAATAACGCAAACCTCGAATTCCAATCTCACCTTTGATATAAATATAACTCTTCTTTTCCCGCGCAAATCAATCAATCAATCGTGTCGAGATTTAGGATTATTTGCGGCTATATAGTGATATACCACGACGAGCAGGAAAAGTGAAACGCCGAGAATGTTCGCAAAGATAGCGAGTTGCACATCCGTCACCATTTTCGGGCACTAGTTCGCGATCACCTCGTTTCCTTCGAAACTTGAGCGAGTTCCTGCGTGAAGAACGGACAACAGAACGTAACAAAAACGACTTCAACTCAACATAGCAGAAGAAAACGAAACTTGAATGAAAAAAAAAAAATGTATCCTTTCGCCAACGAAATGGAACAAAAATAATCAAGAAGAACAAATAACGACAGCAATCATGAATTTGAATTGAATCATCAATCAGAATCAGAATCGTCGCTGCTGCCACTTCCGTAAGCGCCAAACGGATTGTAAAATCCAGCACCACGAAGTCCGTTCGAAGAAGACGCTGGAGTTTTCTCGGACATCAATGTTAACCCCTTTTCGAAAGATGACGCAACGCTCGGCACTTGGATATTCGGCAAAGCAAGGGTGGGAACGCTTTCAGAACTTTCCGGAGTCGGCTCTTCAGATTTTTCACACGGTACAGACTTTGTGGAGACCAACTCGGGCTTTTCTACGGGTTCTGCTTTCACTTTCACTGGTGGAACGGCGGCGACTGCAATGATCTTCGGAGGTGGCGCGGATACGCTCGACTTCTTGGGTTTCACCAATGAAGCCTTCTTTACCACCCCCAGAGATAGTTTCGGTTTCTTTTCCGGTTTCGATGCTACACAAGCGGCGGGTCGTTTCTAGAAAAAATAAAAGACGGCCGATTCAAGTGATGTATTGAATGAACGTTGTTTTACGTAGGCAGATTACTTACGAAGAGTAGATCATCGGCTTCCTTCTTCACCTTGACTTTTTTTGGTTTAGCTTCTTCGTCCGAATCATATGAGTCTAACCGCCGAATGATTCTTTCCCCGTCGGCATTCTTGTGGCCAAACGCCGACCTTTGGGAATACAAATTCGACTCCTGAATCAAAACAGACTTCGAACTAAAAGGGAAAGTCCCACCAAAGAAGATTCAACCAACGACATGATACAGAAAATCGGAATATATGATACATCAAGTGATACTTGACACCGCCGTTTACACAGCAACTTCGCATTCTTAACATACATTTCGAAATAGTTGAACGTATCAGAAATGATTCGAAAACTTTTTGGAAGCTAAAATTAAAATTCTACACAATCAACGAATCAATAAAAATACTTACGCAATGACTAATTCGTCTTGAGCATCTTCCGTCTCTCGCTCCACAGCAGCATCTTGGGCTTTTCGACGCAACATCTGATCCAAAGACTCGTCCAAACTGGCACCCTGACGTTGGTTAAGTTCTTTCAACTCCTCCAAAGTCTCCAGCATGTCCATTTCGTACTTGGATTGTTGGGTTCGCTTCTCCAACAACTGAAATCGGCATTGAAAATGTCAGATTGGTGCGCTGAATATGCGATGAACAAATATGAATCTCGCCTTCATGGGATTGTTCTTTTCCTCTTCCAGACGAGCGGCTTCCTCCCTTTCGGCTGCTTCTTCGGCCAGTTTCAAGGCTTGGAAATTCCTCGTCGCTCCGGCCTCCAAAACGTAATCGGTTGCCTCAGGGTCAGTCTGTAAATAAGACAAATACCATACAGTTTGAAGTACGAAGCGAGTAGAAAATTATAAAACTTACACGAAATGAAATTTCTGATAAACAACGCGTGCACTTGATGTAAAACCGATAGATCCGTATCCCGAGGTAGCTCATGTTGTCCACGTCTTCTTTCCTAGCATTGAACTTCTTCCCCTTGTAGATATACTCTCCACACGTGTCACACCTGTAAGATATAATTATTCGACGATTCCATTTGACAACAAAAATATAATCCAATATACCTCATGTTACAAGGAGCCATCAATCGAACGCAAAACTTCCTGTTTTTAGGCAGTCGCATTCGTGGGATTTTCGACGGATCGAAATCGGGCGGGTAATATTTCTGGAAAATGAAATCATTCAATTACGGTAGGGTTCTTTCTGATGGTTCCGATGAGTGAAACTTACATTCAAGACTTTCCGCTCAGACATTTTGGCGAATTCGCGAAATAGAACACACAAAAAAACCTTTTTCTGAAAAGAAACGAAAATTGTGATTACGTTTCCGAACACTTCGTAACTGATTTCCCCATTATAATGTAACAAGAACATGGATGTACTTGTAATTTCTTTTCCCACCTTCACGCCTGTCTCGTCTTCTCGCGCATTGACAATGCAGCTAAGAATCTCTCGCTCACTTCACGCTTTTTCTACCTCTTCGTCGACTGACGCTCAATACACGCAGAATAAAAGGAGAGGCATAAATCAACAGCATCGTGACACGCATCAAAACAACGTAAAAATGGTTTCCCTAGCAAACTTTTCCACAGAGGTGAACGGTTGACAAGAAACACAGAGAGCTTTTTTTTTCTTCGGCCCACAAGGCGCATCCTCTGAAACGTTCCCGCATACGCAGAACGTCAACCGAAACGCGTGCTCTTAGTCATACTGCTGAATTGCTGAAAATCGCAGATGAAAGAAGCGTTAATGAAGGCTTACTCGACGCCCATGCAAACCTGTAATACTCCCGAAAGTTCAGCTGATCTTCAGGACATAAAATTTAAGTATAGCCAGATCCATCGGAGAATATTAAGTGAATGAAACCTAGAATCATGATCACATAACTCAAGACCAGCACATCACGCTCTCTCTCCCTCTCACAAAGATGAATGGCATGCTCAATAACCACATGGTGAGGAGTGAATCGGCAATGAACTTCAGGACAGTTAGTAAAACTGTATAGGTTGTCAAGCACCTGGGAGCCGACGAAAAAAAACGAATTGACGAAAATCAATCGAATAGCCATGATTCCCTGAAACTCCCGGGACCCGAAACGCTGTCAACCAGTGATTTCAACCTCATAAATAGTCACCATCGCATAAATCTTGATTCAACAAATGGCTTAAGGCTAACCATGCAGATTCCTCATTTTGTTCCCTATGATAAATCCCCCGGCGCAAACAGAGAAAAAAAAATTCACCCCCATGACCATGGAGTAATGCAATAGATAAGCAGAGAATCACAGCAATAATGCATCGATCGGCAGATCAATAGCTAGAACCACGAAGCAGCGTTGAAGCGCTCCGCGAATACCGTAACATAAAAAGCGGGTATGGTCATCCACCAGTTCCGGGAAAACCGCCACTAAATATTTTGCAAATTTAGCTCAGCCCAAGAATGTGTTTCAACTGGGATCTACCAATCTAGTCCCTCTCGAGGAATGTGAGCGCAGCAACGCCTTTGTTCTGTTCCAACTATCTCCGGAAAAAACGGTACAGGCAAATCGAAAAATTCCTTCAAATCAATCCTAAAACCCTCTGCTCGAAAAAAGGCCCTGTTCAACTAAAACTTGATCACAGATGTTGCCCAACATAAAAGGTTACCCACTCGCTAAACACATATCCATGATGAAGAACAGTGTGAAAACCGAGGGAATAACACTAACAACAATAAATAAAATGAGAATTACGGAGAAAGCAGAGGGGGCGTACACGCGAAAGCACTCAAGCGGTAACCACACGACAGGAAAGAAACGTGAAACTGACAAGTGTTTGGAACCGCCCTCCGACTCCTTCGCGGTTCGTGCAAACGACTGCGTAAAACTTGTCCCCCAACTGGTAAAAAACAGGCCGGGGAATATTCTTCGCTAAATCGCTCAGAATTGCGGGTGCAGAAGATCCAGTAGCTGCTTCGATACGGAACCTTTACTCGATCTGATCGTAAGGCGATACATCTGCAACAAAGAAAAAAAGACAAGAATCAGTACGCGTTCCTTCAAACGTATTCAGTATTTTCAAAAAATAAATCCGTGACGAAAAAGGCATCGTGAAAAATAATTCAACAGAGGCGAATTTATGATCAAATCGTGAACTAAAAATCAGATTTATGCATCAGTTACACACCCATATAATTGAGTTTTCAAAAACTACTGTTCCGAGTTCCGGAAGCTCCATTTTCGCAACTCGGGAAACGGAGGAAAGAAATTCCCTACTTTCATGCACAGAATGACGTTTAAAATGAACATTATGCTTGGGGACTTGCTCTGCTTCAGTAAAAAAACAGCCTCATTCTTCGGGGAAGGGAAACACCGAACGATCGAATTCGACTTCCACGCAAAGAATAATTTTCTCTTTGAAATTAAATTTATGATGAATACAGTACAGTACATTGAAAATTGGGATCGCGCAGGGCGAATCCAACTTGAGGCTACTTTACTCACGTTGGCTTGCTTATTTGGTTCCAATCTAAGGAGACAGCCGATTTGCTGTCCGCGCATGTGCACAATGCCAGCGCCAACGAAGTTGTCAGGGTTCGGGTCGATACCCTCCAGTAGTGCAAGCCCAAAGCCGACTAATTTTGTCTTCACTCCGTCTATATCATCAGTTCCGAACTGCGACTGGAAAATATGTTGAGCTTCTTGTTGCGGCCTGCAACGAGTGAGGCACATTCAAGATAGTTCTTGATAAAAAAAAAAAATTAGGATTTCACTGAATAATAAAATTACAGCAGATTTACATGCATTTTAGCATTACAGCTGAAAATAGAAGAAAAAATAAGCACAGAGCTCTCGTGAAGCTCCTAATTGGTCACTTGTCCAAATAAAAGGTTAATTAACACAGAAATCCTTCATGAACGAAAAATTACGGCAACTAACCCGCTGAGATTTTTCCACCGCCCAAAAAAGCTGTCGGAATTCATATCCGTGGCTTGGAAGAATTTGTTGATCGATACAGGAAGCTTTAATTCGTGACGTTGTTGTGAGCCTCCGTGTACGAAATTCACCGTCAATAGAGGATATTCTGCAAAAAGTGAGAATTTAATGATGAGTTTGCCTCAATCAATACGAAAAACTACAAATACGCCGCGGCAGACAGAACAACTCACCAACGAAGTCGTCAATACATTCAACGTTAATCAACTGTTGAATCTGAGCGCCAGCCTCAACCTGACTTTCGACTGATTTTGCCTGTACCAGCAGCTTTGCAGCCAGGATCCCGGGACAGCTGACAGTCGGTGAGAATTGCTATAATTGAATATTATTTGATTTAGCATAAATATTTTTTAAATAAAAATCCAACTCTTGAGCAAAATAACCAGCTTGAAATTACCGTCAGCGGAGAAATCGTTTTGTTTCCAAAGAAAATTCCGAGCCTGCCGAGATTTTGTCGATACTCAGCTCGGATACCAACTTGAATCAGATCATTCTCAAACAAAACTCCATTATTCTTGCAAATCAACCTGAAAAACAACGTATTTCGAGAGAGAATACTTATAAAATCACGATGGCTTCACATACTTCTTTAAATTTTCCTCATGCGCAGACATCGACGCATTCGAGAAACCACCCAGATTTCCCTGCATTCCGTTCGGGATTTCTCCGCCCAAAACATCAACCAGTAAACTCATGCTGCTTTGCGGCTTTGCACCACTGCTAGCTCCCATGTCCATGGACTGAATAAAGAACCAAATACAGTACGTAATATTATCCTTATAAAAATGAGAATCGGATTAACATTCGTGCAACGTAAAAATTGATCTTGATTCATAAAACACTGCTTTGAACAAAAAAATCTTCGGAACGCAAAAATAATAATAGCAGCTTTCAATGGATAAAATAATTGAATGTAGTAAAAAGTAACAATACCCGTTCGCTGGAGACGTGATTCGCTTTCGTGGAGACAGTTTCACTTTTCGTGGCTCCACTCGCACCAGCAGCATCGTTACTCCATGACTTCTTCTTGAGTTTAGCAAGAATCGAAGATTCTCTTTCCGGAAACGCCGGCATTTCTTCAAGAACAGTCGCCTGAGTACCGATTGCATCATTATCATAGAGAAGCCAAAAATAATCAAGTCACATACCAAGACATCAGTCGAGACTGTGTTAGCCAGGGTCAAGTATTCTGATGCTCGCTGTTGCAATTCAGCTTCAGCACTGCGTAAGTTTGTATCAGACTTCAGAATTGTAATTATCTCCCCCTTGATCTCGGGAAATAGGTTTATAAACTTTACGTAAGTAGACAAGAGCAAAGCTCTAGTCATAGGACTGCACAAGTGAAACTGAAAAATTAAAAACATTTTAGTGAACGGGGATCAAATTGTCCCCTTCTTAGCCACGAATCTACCTTTGAGTGGAGCAGGCGGAATTGCACTTGCGGCGAAGACCTGGCGTCTCCTGCGATGAGATTCCCGAATTCTCCCAATATATAGCCTCCAACTTTAACCATGTTCTCGTGACACGCAGGAGCTTGTAACGCCTTTAATGGAAAATATCGGATTACAGGTGGAGTCTATCTACAACGATCTCCTCTACAACGATTTTCTTTGTATAACGAATTTTTTCGGTCGCTTGGGCTTCTCTCCTCATGTTACTGAGGCTATCTACAACGATATTTTTTCTGGTCCCTTTAATTTCGTTGTACGGAGTATAACCGTATTTTTTTAAAAGAAGCTCTCAAATAAATTTATCTCACCTCAAATACCATTTTCGCAGCATAACCTTGGACATCCTCACGATTCACGACAATCTGTATTACTCTGTACCATACTTCCTCGGAAACGTAATCTCCAGCAATCCTGATCAAGTTGAGGATCACGTCGACGTACCAGGTGTAATCCGATGCGTACTTCTCAGCTAAAATTGCGACTTTCAGCACCTGTTCAGCCATTTCAATATGATATATTGTACAATATTTGAAATAAATGAAAAATTCAGTATAACATTTTTTAAAAATTCAGCAACAATCGCATCCACTCACCATTTCTTCCCGAATAGAATAATCTGCCAGTTCCAAGTAGTTGAGCATCTCCTGTACGATTTCTTCAGCATTAGATTTGTCACACATGGCGTACAGAAGATCAACAGCTCGTTGGCGCACGCTCACATCTCGTTCCGTCTGTGAAAGAATCCGCCGAAAAGTTGGTTACACCCACACAGCATATTAGTGTTGTGCCACGTACCTTCAATGCATTTATGACAGTTTCTTGGTGCTTCTTGACCGCGTCATGAGAAAATTCGGACGTGGCAAGCAAGCACATACTCTCCAAAGCTAAGTAGCGCAGGTTTGTTTCTCGGTGCGTGAGAAATGACCCAAGCTGATTGCACGCTCTCACAAGCAAATTTGGCTCACTTCATAACATTGAAAATTATTCGTAAAATATATCAAGACAAGTTTTCGCGTAAATCATACCTGTCGGAATGAATTATGAGCGAAATTGCTTCGAACAAAACGGCGTTCTTTGCGTTTGAATGCTGAACTTTCTTGGACTTCGGAGGCTCCTGGGCTTTGTTTAAAATTGTTTCGAGGCACTCATTCAATCTCCCACGCACACCGGGATCATCTGAAATCAAAAATATCTTTAGCCAGATTTTTTCAAATGGGGTTTCACACACGGGCGAACCTGGAGGGGGATAGTTTTGCAGCAGTCTCAGTAGCTTTACAGAAAGCCATGGCGCAGGAACGAAGTAATACGTGTAGTCTTGCAAGTCGGTATAGCTGGCCGTCACAATCTGAAAGAAGAACATATTTTAAATTTGGATTAAAGCAAGAATCGAACATAAATCTGCGATGGCCATAGCAATGAAACGACGTTATTAACAACCGTCGTTATTTTCGGGGCGATTATTACTCGGATATCGAATAATGGCTGGACGGAATAACGAATTTCATTCCCATGTGATCTCAGATCAGCTTCCTAAGAAACTTAGTACAGTACATAAATCAAGGATACTCACTCTTGAAAGTCTCGAAACAGCCAGCGAGACGCACCCTTTGTACTCTTCAGGGCTGCGCTTGACCAAAGCATCGATCAAAGATGTCGCGGCTGTCACTACTCCCATGTGTTGATCGTTGAGCAAATGGACAATGCGAGAAGTCCATTCTCCGGAGGGAGTGGCCGTAGGTTCCCCACCTGCTCCTCCATACAACCGCAGCAAACACAACGCTGCACTTTGTTTCACGGTATCCATCGTATCCCTGAAAAACAAAACGCACAGAATTCACATCTACTCATACTCAGCTGTCGAGAATATTTTACCCCGACACAAGAAGTTTTGGAATCTCGTTTCCGAATGCATCGGCCATGTCCTTGCTGCCGATGTTGGCAATACACTGCAGCGCCAAGTTGACGTGAATCGGATTCCTTAAAAATATATGCCATCAATGTAGCCACATTCCATATCGTGATCAATAGAAAAGGATAGTTCTTTGACAAATTCTATAACTAAAATTGAACCCTAGAACGTAAATCGGTTTGCAACATGGCAGAAGATAGGTGCATCGTGCATATTCGTTGACACCAACCTAGACTGCAAATCATTCGAAATGCTTTTGATGACAAGTTTCATCAAGTCACTGGTGCTGTCAACAAGCACCGAGATGAACAGGTAACCCTTCGGAAGAAAAGATACATGTTTAACTCCCTTCAACTAGTTGATAAAACTTGGCACTCACTATCTGCTTCTCCGTATATTTGTTCGAAGACAGCAAATTAACGGCTTCCATGTGGCCGAAATCGATATCATGTCCAAGCAGAAAGATGAAGAGAAGTTTACAGACGTACTTTTTCTTTTGATACCCGTCGAGAGTTTTGTCTCCCTTAAACTTGCTTCGAATGTTGGCAAGCTCTTTGTTGATACGCTTAATTTCTGCTTCTTTGCTTTTGCCTAGAAGAATGAAACCAAAAAGTTAATTCAACTACGGTAATAAAATGAACAAAGATACTCACAATTCCGGATATCAGATATGAATACAGCTAAGCCGCGCATCCCATCTCCACGAACCGCCGGCATGGCTATCCCCGATGGTTAGCACTAACCACGGAAACAAACGAAAATATTCGATATTGACCTTTCTATCGTGAATATTGAATCTAGACCCTCAGGCATAAATTGCGGAAAACGCCGGGAAACCTGAAACGTCATCAGCTAGATGAATTAAGCTATGCTTAATGTCACTCATCATCTCCCCGAAGATGTCTTCTCAGCATAATTTAGTATTAGCTTGGTGTTTTCAGAAATACTTTGAACAGCACTTCGAGAGAATTCGACTCGTGCTCGAATTTACAACATGCAACTTTCCCACGAGGCACAAAACACCGTCACCTCTTCCAAGCGAGTATCAATACACGTTCTTCGGAACTTGGTATGCAGTAGAGGTAGAGAGCACTGACACTTTGGAGTTGCATACAACGTATGTGGGATAACTGAACGGAACTATTCAGAGACGCAGTTCTTATATGAACAGGTAGGTGGTTTCACTCATACATCATACTGTATTACTGTACACATGGTGGGCCAGTTCTGTGTTCTTCCACCTGTCGTCCGCTGACCGGGGGAAGCTCTCTGCCGGTTTGTTCAGTTTCTGTATTGAGTTATTACCTTTTATTCAGAAAAGTTTGAAGCAAGCTTTTTTCTTCCACTCATTCTCAGAGACATATTACATTCATTTTTAGATTTAAGAGGGGGTTTGGGAATATTTCTAGAATCTAAACAGGATTTTTTAAATTCACGAAGGAATGAAAAAATTGGCATGGCAGCATTGCTCTTACTGGCACAGTACTGTGGTACAGCCTGAAAAAGATTGAAATTTCATGATGTGATTCACTTCTCGGCATTTTTGGTGGAATATGGAATGACATTTTTTGTGAACAAAAAATACTATATCTTAGCTGTTATTTGAATCATTCAACAGCATATACTGTGTAACAATCCTACTTGAGTGACCTGAGAGACATTACAGAATTGTGGGGGAAGCGTCAGGAAAATTTGGTACACCTTCAAATTAACAAATGTGGCAGGTCAGAAAAATAGTCCGCATAGGTCCAACAATATGTAACCGTAAAATTTAATAGTGTAGTCTGATGAGGGGAAAAAATGTTGGGAACAGGAACTTTCACTCTACCTTACTTGAAGAGAGATATGAAAAATGCACACTGACACGATTTCAAATCACTGCCTTATTTTCAAAATTAATGATTTAAATCTATTTGGTGATTTTTGAAGGAGAAAATAAAATTGTGAAGGGGTTTACGGCCACTTGATTCATATTGTTCACCAACTTTCTGGATTACTTGTCCTACATCTTATCTCATGTGCTTTTAATTGAGACGCTCTTTTATTTACTACTTTTACAGCAAGGTGAACCTTCTCCACAACTATCTTGTCTACAATACTTTTCTCCATAGAACACCTATTTTTAGTCCCAGGGTTTTCCCCACTTGATCTGGAGTTTTTCTACAAAAATTGTTCCTCATCCCTTGAATTTTGTCAGAGAGTCCACCTGAATTACACATGACTTGCAAGTAGCTGTTCGCATAATTTCCCTAAATTTGTTGTCCAATAAGCACGTTTAAAATTTGTTACTCAATCGTATATAATGGGCTCCAAATGCGTTCTTACACGAAGTAGCCACATTGCCCACACCGTACCAGTGCCGGTTTGTACATCCGCATTTTTCACATTTTTTGCGATGTTGAAATGACAGGTGATCATTCGAACTGACCTTCGCCTACATACTCCTGTGTAATAAAAAGAAAAGGTTCACAACACTTCACTTCGATCCTCATCCATCCGCAACTCAAATCTGGGCCAACAAATCAAGCATTACAAGCAACACATTGTCTAAAACATTTCAAGTTTATTCCAATTCACAACGGAAGCGATTCGACGATACACAATTTGAAAAAAACATCGTAGAGCGGCTGACATCACCATTCTAGCATATTCATCGCGAACAATGACTTTTATTCGCACTTTCCACAAGACAAAAAGCATCTCCTTGCTCCTTTACAGAGACCAAAAATTGCGCCAGAGGAAGAATGTACACGAACATATAAAACTTCCCATAATTATGACTCAATAACGCCTCATTCAAATAACACCGTCACAAACGGACGAACGGAATGTCTTCAGCAACAAAATATTTCTACTTTGATTCTTTTGTGAGAATGTTCAGTACCTGTCCTTTGTCAGACTGGTCATTTCGGAGTCCTTCAGTCGCTGAATTTCTTCAAGATCACGGAACTTCTCACTTTCTTTGATGTGTGCGTAATTTGCAGAAAGGCACATCAAATAATTTACCTGCAAATGAATGGGTCCATCAACTTGCATGAAAACGATTCGACACAGAAGGATTTCTTTGTAAATTGTCAATACGGCCTGCTTTCACACTTTCTCGAATTTCATTTAAGGCCACTCGCTCAATATGTAAGCTGAACTTTCATAAAGTTTACAACTGGACAAGATAAAAAAAAACGAGAGACCAAATGGGTCGGACTATGAGGAGAAAATGGACGTACCAAACTGATGATAACCAGCAGACAGGAGACCGTCGCCAAAACGAACATAATGTGCGCACTTTGGACATAGTCTCGGCAAAACAACTTCTTGTCACCATCCGTGCAAATCTTCAGCTTGTCTCGATTCATGTCACTCGGGAAAAAATAATCTAAACGGAAAACATATACAAACGTACAAGCCGTGATTCTCAAGGTGACGCAAAAAAAAAAGTTCCCACTCGTTGGATTAAATAAATAATGAGAATAATTGTCCAAGCTTCTCTTCTTTCAAAGAAGCAATGTTTTCTTGCACAAAAACTGACATGAAGTATTGTCAACTGATACTTACCAAGAGGAGTGAAATCGATGCAGTGGTCAGGCAGCGTCGTGTGGTCGGATTTGCACATGGACAGGAAAAACGTGAATACCGTGGACAAGACGATCAAGCACACGAAGATCAAGAGCCAAATGATGTTCAAGAAGTACACAAGCGTCATGAACACAGTGCCACACACTCTTCCTCCAATGAGCCTCGCCCGGTCAGCTCTATATACAGAGTACCTCGTTTCCCCAGTTGCGAGACAGCCCCAAAGCAACAGGATCAATCCCAAAATTCCCATCGCCACTCCGACAATCATGAAAACCAAATGAAACGGTTCCAGCCTGCGGGAAATGAAAAAAAAAATTAGTCCCTATCTCATCTATTTGGAAAGGTCACCAAACCTAAGACTCTACACATTATCTTATAACTAAGCACTGTAGACACAGATGGTCGCGAAGTGCGCAACAACAACTTTTCTTCGATTTAATTTGATACGATCTTGCATTCAAATTTATGTTTCGAACCTTGGCAAACCTGAAAAGCACTGAAGTAGGGCAAAGAGGTTTTTCAATTCATGAGAGGGTGACTCCTATTCAACACCTGAGCAGGGAGCAATTTTCATCATGAAAAATTTCAGAACACTCGAGGGCAGCGGTGAAACAGTTACAATTTTCGGTCTACTTTACTTTATTGATTCGTTGCATTTATACGAGTATTTTATAGAGTTGGAGTTAAGATGAGGCATATGATGTCGACTTTTCGAAGTAGAGCCTTTTAATGGGTGAGGACTTCGGTCCATTGACTGGAGAAGAGTCAATGAATATTATGAATGGATAACACTCCCAGCTTGATGCATTTAAATTGGAAAACGGTAATCCAATGGTAGTAGCTCGCCTAAAAATTTACAGCAGAATCTCGGGAAATTGTGTCATAGGTCGATGATCTGGTTTTACCTCTTCTATCCTGGCAACGCAACAACACAGGACTATTTCATTAAATTTATTTCATTTCTTTCTTTTCATGCTAAAAATTTAATCGAAGAAAAAAATATACCGTGCACCGAAGAGAAACCCTCAAAAACGTACGTAGCTTCAATAAATTTCCTTCTCACAACGAGTCGCACCATGACATCAATCAAACGAGGCTTAAATGCAATCGTACAATGATTTGATCGAAACGCTACTTAATCAAAAAATGTGGCAAAGCGATGAAGAATTGTTCCGTATCATGAGATGTTTACGGTGCTTAGTAAAAATTTTGGAATCCATCCGATGAATTGAAAAAAGGATTTTTTTTCACTACTCATTTCGTCCCTAGCAAAAATAATTGCGCATAATTTTCGACTGAGACACCAGGTGTTACCTTCTGGAAAAGTATTCTTCAGCAGGACACTATGGTTGTCTGTCGATTAAGATCCGCAGGCTCAAACGTCTTATTACTACTAGCTATAAAATTTTAAGATCTATTACTAAGGTTGACTGGTCAAGTTAGCATACAACTTCTGTAGTAGTTTGTAGGAGTCCGTCTCTCAACTCGGAGACATAGTCGTCCCACAAAAAACGCCCACTCCAACGCAGCACATCACTGTGGCTATCAAGGTGGCATACGGGATCCTCCCAATGCATTCTCGGCATTCTTGTCCTATAAATTGAACGATACAATCATCAATTTGATGCAACGCGTTATTTTGTCACTTTTTCGTTTTGCTCATGAAACCAGCAACCGACTAAGGTACGAGAGATAAACCTCATCAATAAATCTACGAAATACTTCGTGGTATTTGAAAAATCGTGCATATGTTTTTTTTTCTACAAACCTTCAGTACTTCGAGAAGTTTTCAATCTCTCCTTGCACTTGTCTTTCAACAACTCTGTCTGCACGATTATCTCCTCTTTGGAGCCTTTCTTTAGATCCATGATTGCTCACAACACACCTCGAAAACGCATCATTGTCACGAAACTTTAATCCCTCCCGTTATTATCCGTACAACAGGCTTCCCACGATAGACGGAAGACTTCCTCAGAAAATTCCCATCACACCCAACACCGGCGCGATGTAGCCCATAATCGACAAGCACAATCTAGGAAATTATCCCTCTGGGAATGAACTAAAGTCGAAGTAGAAAAAGCGGTATAGTTTCTTCTATAATCATTAGTTGAGCCACAGTATGAACGATGACATGGACAGGAAAAATTGATTTCTATTGCAGAGGAGACCTACCGTGAATCCGGTATGTACTGGTGCATCACTTTTTCAAGAAATAAGCCCAGTTATTGAACATAATTCTTCATATTGCATTGTTTGCTACTGCACATAAAAAGAGACGCATGAGTCAATACGAAGTACTGCAGAGAAAAATCATCGTGAAAGGATTACCTGGATCGCAATTTTCTATAGAAATACAGATTTGCACATCGTGTATTAGCACATCGGAGATTAGGAGTTCAATTAACGAAAAAATCGAACGATTCGGGTTTTTTTTTTTTTACAGTCCATAGTCAGCTTTTGGCACCCGTCGCTTCGTTTGATTTTTGTATGCTCGAAAACTGAATTAAAAATTCTAAAATATTCTCAGTCCATCCTTCAAAATATACAGTCCTTTGAAGTACAGTACTTCAAAACCAAGTCGAAGCACCATTTTCAACATCAAAACACATACCTTTAAAATCTCTTGCCTTTAGGGATAGGACAATTGTGCGAGAGAATAAAAAACGGTCCCTTTTTTAAGCTCATCTTCAATAAAATTAACCAAAAGTTTCAAGTCTTGTCTGACCTGATGAAATGATTTTTCTTGACGCATTTTCGGTGAATGAAACGGGCACCAATTGGCTGGGAAACAAGAAAATCCCTCGGATTCCAAGGCAAACCTTCAAAATTATATACTATCCATACTTTTCTCCCGAAAATTTTGTAGAACTGAGCTTACAAAACTGATTACTAATCACGGTTAAACGTCATTTCAAGAACGACCGCTTTCACGAGATTACGATATGAGCCAAATTTTCCTAGAACTTACAAGACTCGGGTGCGGCGGGTCTTCAAAATTCTTTAGCCTTTTCAAGAAGAAAGGAGAAATTTTGTCACGAAGAAAAAACGGGGTTGACACCGCGAACGCCGCACTTTTCCTCAAAAGATTGAAGAACTTCTTCGCGATCAATACAATTTGTCCCCCACACTCAAAATCCCTACCCAAGATCAAGATACGGTACGGAATAAGAAAACATACCCGTATTCACTTGAGTACCACTTGCTCCCTAATTTTTAAAAATTAGGCGAAAAAAGAGGATGCGGGTATACAATTTTTAAAAAATTTTGAAGCTCAGGTTCAAGTCATACTTGATTCTCATTGGAAATTTTAAAACCAATTTCTGTAAAAAAAATTTACTAGAAACAATAAAAATGAATTTAATTCGGGCTTAACTCAAGACAAAATTCTGATTCGTTTCATTTTCAAAACTTCGTCATTTTTCAGTCACTAAACACAGAGTGCTCGTCATGCTTGGGGATATGCTTTTATCTGAATTTCAGGACCAGAAAAATCTCACACTCGAAGGCACGTGGTAATCGAGTAAATACAGCAGGTATTTCAACTCCACAGCCCAAAACTCGAAAGCGAATGAACGAACTGCCGTCCTACATCACACTCAAGTCACATACAATTTCGAAAAGAGACAGCCACAATGCGGACCAGAAGCTAAGCCTTCGTGCAACCAAGAGAGGCCCCGGCAGTCACGAAAATGACTTTCCAGATTTTCATTTTGCCCGTGATCAGGGAAGCAGTTCCATTACGCTCTACTTCTCGCTCGCCTTCAGAGGATCCAACGGAAACTCAATCAACACACGAGAAGACGAAACCGCGAAACAAGATAGAAGCGCAAGATCACTGCCGTACGACGGACGCTAACGCTTGGCCACGGAATACCGTCGCCTGGGACTTTCCAACGGCGAATATTCGGGCTCAAGATTATCGAATTTCACGGGACAATTTTTAAACATTTGCGCAAAAATTGATTCGAATAAAAATGCAACTTTGAATTTATTTTCGATCATGTTCGCGTTCCCCAAAAAGTGTTCAACAACAACAAAAGCGAGTCCGGGGGCCGCAGAGTACAGACTTTTCTGTCTCATTACCAGGCGTCATTACTGGAGGAGAGCAAACACATTTCCTGGTTCATTTTCTGCTTGATTGGTCTGAAAAATCTACCCGAGAAAAACCTATAAATGCAGAAAAATAAATATAGTTGCACTTTTTCCACCGAAGGCTCGAAACTCGGGACAGAAAAGTCAAGTAAGTTTATCGTATTCCCTGATGCTACAGTAATACGAGAAGTTAAAAATTGATACCGCATTGACTGGTGTACCTTGTGCCTCTTTCAATTTGAGAAAAATTTTTATTAAGCCGCTTAAAAAGTGCATGACGAACATCCGAACATCCTATTTATTCTTGCAAAATTGAAGAGGGAAAATGTACGCATGGTACTTGACTTCATTCATTAAAATTTACGTTGATCCAAAAGCAACACCACGAAACTAAGAAAATGTCACCTTATACACACAACAACAAATAAAACGCAAAAACGAAAACTTTCTGGCCATATTGGCCACTTCAGGGGAATCTTTTGAACCTTTTACAGAAGTATATAGGCTTATATGTGGATCCCAATCACATTTCCGTCAGGTTCCTATATTCACTCTACGACACATAAGCCTATATTCACTCTACGACCGAATGAACCCATAAAATATCTCCCCGCTTAAATTCAAAATTCACACTATACTGAAGCACGCTGCACAAGTGCACATTTTGCATGATTAAATTCCAAGGAAAATTCAAAATTAAAGGATCTTGGAGGTGCAGGAAAGGAAGGCCGCGCAGCTCTCTCGAGACAGCGTGGCTTTCTGAGTCTTCACGACTTTCCGGTTCGGCCACTCCTGACGGAACACAATAACAGTACAGTACTGCATTGTACATTTAAAGGGTGGACACGATAAATATGAGTTGTTTTTTGACACTAAGACATTTACCGCAAGAATTCATCAGGCACAAAGCGAACAGAAAAGTGTACGTCGATCAACATACGGGCACTCATGCACGAAGTAAAAAAAAAGTTCAACTCTTCATACATCAGATTTGACACAGATGGACACTTTCTACAACAAATTTCTCGGTATAACGATTTTTTTTACCCATATTGGTCTCTACCCAGCCTACAAAGGTTCTCAACGATGGAATCTCTCTACAAAAAATTTTTTTCGGGCCCCCCTAAATTTTGTTGTAGAGTCCACCTGGAGTGATTCACGTCCCATCGTTCACAATGATGAATTTGTAGTGGAAACAAATGGAGAATAATTTCAGGATGCCGTTCTCTTTCAAACAAATTGCAATAGAACCACTTCCTAAGCAAGACCATAGCGTTCGTTACAATTTTTAACGACCTCGAATTTTAATCGCATTAACCATTTTATTTCTGCATATGATGTAGGAAGGATACGATCACAATCTCCCAAAGAAAACGCATGAAAAACGTTCCATCTTTTAGTTGTTCTATACTTTGCCTCGAGACCTTCGGAACGTGATCCAAGAACCGTGTCCGGCGGACGCACGCTCGTTGCACATAATTGTTCTCGCGGCACACGCCAGTGCCACCGGATGGATATCGCGCAGGTGCATTCATTGTAATACTGGGAGTTATAGAAAATGTTTTTTCAGTGGAGACTAAAATCAAAACTCGATGGACCTACGAATGCTTTTCCAAATTTTCCTTTCAGGTATACGAGAGACTGGTTCACAATCTGCTCGCGGAGCCCTGATACTACTCATTAATTTTACGGGGGCTCCGTAGAGTCCTAAGGACACCTCATAACCATAAAAGGGACTGAGTGGGTGTTCGAGAAAAATTAAAGGGACAACTGGACTGATTCTTAATTGAAGAAGTGAGGTCTGCGAAAGTTGTGCGTCCGTGATTCAAAGCAGGAGACATTACTGCACTGAATACGGAAATTTATCCTTTTCGCAGAACAATTAATAATAATTTTCTGCCACCCATGAGAAAGGCCTACTCATACAAAATATCAAAGGTTTTCGCAATCCATTTTTCCGATTTCAAACGTCGTGCAGTATTTAATTGTTCAACGTTTCAATATTTCAAAACGCATGAACAAAAAAGGGCCCTGGAGCTACTCATCAATTTTACGGGGCTCCACAGAGTCCTAAGGACACCTCATGAACAGCAAAGGTGATCAGCGAATGTTCATGAAAAATATAAGGGACCACCGAACTGATTTTTGATTAAAGAAGTGAGGTCTGCAAATATTTCGCCAAAATTTGTGCGTCCGTAATTTATAGTAGGAAGAATATACAATAAATTAATTTACTGAATACGAAATTTGGCCTTTTTGCTGAACAATCAGTAGTAATTTTTTGCGCCGCATAGGAAAGGCCTACTGCGGTCCGTCTTATAATATATTGAAAATTCTAAAAAAAAACAAGACTTGAATCTCAGACGAAATACTAATAGTCTGATTTTATGCACCGCATCTGTTTTTTAACGCGTCAAAACGCGTAAACCAAAAAGCACGTACGCGCCATTCATGAATATGAGTTTGATCGGCGAATGAATAATTCCTTGAAATTGTCTTTCCTTATTTTACTGGCAAGAAAGAAATGTGATTCGAGATCCTCGGTTTACTGAGGAGAAGGAAAATCCAGTAATTATATTTTTCTGTGAATCTGCTTTCGTCTGCAAAAGGGTCGAACACCTTCTCTAGGTGTCATTCGAGCAGCGAAATGACGTACATATCGAAAGTTTTCACGATTTTTGAATGGAAGATAAAAATCAAAAATTCCCGAACTGGAATAGCTTTCGATGATTTTTTTCTGAGGAATACCGGGCAGCAGGGATTAAGGAATTGCATT